ACTGGCTAACAGCTGCCAGGCCGCCAGGCTAATATTTTTCCCTAGCAGCCTGACCTTCAGAGCGACCTCAAGGGGAACCCCTCAGAACTGCTACCCATGGTGGTTACTCTCGGTCCCTTGTGTCTGTGAACCGGGAGTCCAGACCTGCATCCCTGACTGGGCCAAGCCTGGTGGTCTCCAAACTCCCAAGAGAAAATGTGAGAAAGAGAAGGACCCCTTTCCTAGCAGAGTGAGCCTTCAGCACCTGCTGCCTTCATATTTGGGACACATTGAGAGGACACTTCATACAAAAATAGTGCTTTTAAGTCACTTCTAAAGCTCACATATTTAAAAAATCAAATTTGTCCTGGGACAAAGTCCCAGGGAGTCCGGGACTTCCCACCAGGGAAGCCCCAGACTCCTTTTAGAGAATCAAATTCCCTAACTTGTTGAAAATTTGTTGCTTTATTCAAGGGGAAGGGGCCACGGGAGCCACCTCCCCAGTTCCCACGCTGGGTCAGTGTGTGCTAAGTGCTGGGACAATAAGGACACTCAGGATGACTTAACCATAAAATTCAAGTCCATAAAGTTCAGCAAACACCTGCTGAATGCCAAGCACTTATGGAGGGCGAGGAGGTAAGGGCGTGAACAAGACCAATCCCGGCCTTCAGGGAGGCAACTGTGGGAAATAACTGCGACACAGGATACACACCATCACGTGACAAGCACACCCAGAGAAATAGGGATTATGAACGAACGCTCCTGAAACACAGAGAGATGAATTCTTGCCGGGAGAGGTGAGAGGCGGTGCCATTCAGGGGACACTTCCAGGGTGGAATTCACAGAAGTCTGTGCACATGAAGAAGAAAAATGGGAGTATGATTTGAGAGGTTCCTATGCGGTTAACTATCATCTGAGTTAGGGCAAGAGGATGAAAAGCAGGTTTTGCACCTGATATATTAAAGATACTCAATAAGGGACTTCCCTGGCGGCACAGTGGTTAAGAATCCACCTACTGATGCAGGGGACTCAGGTTCGAGCCCTGGTCCGGGAAGATCCCACATGCCATGGAGCAACTAAGCCCGTGCACCACAACTACTGAGCCTGCGCTCTAGAGCCTGTGAGCCACAACTACTGAGCCCACGTGCCACAACTACTGAAACCCGTGTGCCACAACTACTGAGCCTGCGCTCTAGAGCCTGTGAGCCACAACTACTGAGCCCACGTGCCACAACTACTGAAACCCGTGTGCCACAACTACTGAGCCTGCGCTCTAGAGCCTGTGAGCCACAACTACTGAGCCCACGTGCCACAACTACTGAAACCCGTGTGCCACAACTACTGAGCCTGCGCTCTAGAGCCTGCGAGCCACAACTACTGAGCCCATGTGCCGCAACTACTGAAGCCCACGTGCCACAACTACTGAAGCCCACAAGCCTAGAGCCCGTGCTCCACAAGAAGCCACCGCAATGAGGAGCCTGAGCACAGCAAATGAAGAGTGGCCCCTGCTCACCGCAACCAGAGAAAGGCCCGCACGCAGCAACAAAAACCCAACGCAGCCAAAAATAAATAAATAAAATAAATTAATTTTTTTTAAAGTTATTCAATAAACATTCACTGAGTGAAGGAAAAGAAACTGGGTTCAGTTTCATACATATAAATATGCACATATAGGGACTTCCCTGGCAGCCCAGTGGTTAGGACTCCACGCTTCCACTGCAGGGGCCCAGGTTCCATCCCTGATCAGGGAACTAAGATCCCACAAGATGCTCAGTGCGGCCACAAAAAAAAAAAATTGCACATATACATTTCCCGGTTCCGGAGTCCAAAGCTGGTTTGGAAACACCATTCTATTTCCTATTTCCCTTTATAACATAAAAGCATTATAAACTCATAACTGTTTCTTTTTTTTTTTTCCTCGGGGGCAGGGGTTATTAGGTTTGGACACAGAAAGAGTAAAGTTCCGCTTAGATTACAAAACAAGCCAAGTGAGCAGAAACTGGCACTAGCTTTCCACCTCCTTCGTGGCCTGCCCACCTCTCAATTCTTCTCCCCTTGACTCTTCCCCAGTAAACCCACTTTTCTTGGGGGAAAAAAATTCTTCAGGAAAAAAATATTAGAAATCACTAACTAGGGACTTCCCTGGTGGTCCAGTGGGTAAGACTCCGCACTCCCAATGCAGGGGGCCCAGGTCGATCCCTGGTTGGGGAACTAGATCCACACGCATGCCGCAACTAAGAGATCCCGCATTCCGCAACTAAGACCCGGTGCAGCCAAAGTAAATAAATAAATTTTTAAAAAGAAGAAAAAAAAAAAGAAAGAAAGAAATCACTAACTAAGCATCTCCTGTAGGCCGGTGGGGTGGGGAGGCTCAGAGTCTACATCTGGCTCCTCCAATCCCAGCTGTGTGACTGCTGACCAAGAAATGTAACCCCTGGCTTCAGTTTCCTCATCTGAAGACTGGAGATCAATGAAGTAACTGCCTCAGGGTGTTTTGCTGAAGATTTAATGGATAAGTACCTGGAATACAGTAACCCCCAAATGATAGTTACTCCTGTTATTATTACTGTGTCATTTTAAAACACTAGTGGACACACAGCACAGGGAGATCAGCTTGGTGCTTTGTGACCACCTAGAGGGGTGGGATAGGGAGGGTGGGAGGGAGACGCAAGAGGGAGGAGATATGGGGATATATGTATATATATAGCTGATTCACTTTGTTGTAAAGCAGAAACTAACACACCATTGTAAAGCAATTATACTCTAATAAAGATGTTTAAAAAAATAAAAATAAAAAACACTAGTGGTATTATTTTTAATTTTGCAAAACCTGCCCTATTATCCCTGTGTCTACTGCTTTGACCCTTCTGCCTGTTTAAGCCCTGGATTCCCTTCTGTAATGGGGGGAGCTGAGCACTACCCACAGTAACAGAGAGTGATAAAAGCAAAAAGCCAACCGGCCTCAATCCTTAGCGAAGGGAAACATTGAGCAACCTCTGCATCCCATCAGCCACCAAAACGACAGAGTCCAGTTTGTGTGGGGCAGGGGCAAGATCAGAAGATCTATTTCTCTAGTTCTGAGCTCTACGACCTCAGGCAATTCCTACAACTGCTCCTACATCCTCTAGACAAAGGAAATAATAGCAGGACTCCTGATAACCTAACCAGATTACAGATATGAAAACACCTGTCCAAGATCAAACCAAATAAATGCTATCACTACTCTGAGCTAGGTCATGCATCAGCAAGTCTGGACTGAGCAGCCTCCGGGGGCCAGAATGTGTCAGAAGGCAGGAGGCAGATGCTTTTGATCTCTTCCTTCCACATCCATTTCTGCCACTATTTAGTGGCAGGATCAATTTGCAAACTTCCCCGCCCTATAAAGCAAGTAAGAGATTACAAAACCAGAGGACTGGTGAAGAGTTGGCTGGTAGAAAGCCTGTTTCTACTGCCAGTTTTCTTGCACAAAGCAAGTCTATGTCTGTAATATAATAAGTATTATAATTTGAGGGAATATAGGAAAAATAAATCAAGTGGTCTGTCATTTGGCCATAAGAGTCCCAATATACAGCCATGTCTTGGACAACTGCTCTGAGGGCAGCACCAGAGCGTGGCGGTATGGAGGATACAGGGGTAGTTTAGGCCATTGACGATAATATTGCCGATTAGAACAGGGCTTCCCAGGTGGGCTTCTGGGACAAGCACGTGGCTAGTGGATGGAGCAGGGTTTTGGAGCCAATCACACCAGGTCTACTGGTCCATAGACAGTATGCCTTGGAAAATCACTTCACCTCTCTGTGCCTCAATTTTCTCAACTGTAATAAAAATAATAATAGTATTAATAGCTTCTGGTTTTCAAGTACCAGGCACCATGAACTTGACATATATGATCTCCCACAATCCTTGCAAGCATTCCAGGAAGCCAAATGGAGATTAGACGTGCAGCTGGGGATGCCCTCAGGACTAAATGAGATGACATGATTTCAATGCTTAACACCTAAACATTGCCCAACTAATTTTGGTGCTCAGAATGCCACTTGCCTACCCCACTTTGAGCTCCTTGGGTATTCCCACAGTCCAGGCACAGTGCCCAATACACTGTGAACACACAACATTCACTAAGCTGGAAAAGTGGCCCCAGAGCCTATGAGGCATGTGAATGGTGATCACAACTCTTGAATTCCTCAGACTGGAAAACAGGCGTGGAGAAGAGGCCAGACAGATTGGCTCTTTCACAAGTTATGTACTCAACAAATATCTATTAAGTATACTGTGTGCCAGACATCTTGCCAAGCCAGGGGATGGAGACAGCAGGAACATCTCAAACTTGTCATTACAGATGGAGTGATACAACGGCACGGGAAGGAGGGGACTGACTGGGATCTCAGCAGCTGGCAGAAGACAGACTTGGGTTCAAATTTTAGCTCTGTAACTCATTAGCTCCATGACCTTGGGCACATTATTTAATCCTCTCATCAATCTGAGTTTCATCAACTATACAAAAGGGTATGTAATAATGGCACCTTCATCTCATAGGACAGTTTTAAGAAACAGATAAGCTAGGGACTTCTCTGGAGGTCCAGCAGTTAAGAATCCGAGCTTTCACTGCAGGGGGACGCAGGTTCTCTCCCTGGTCGGGGAGCTAAGATCCCGCATGCCGCGTGGTGCAGCCAAAAAAACAGAAAAGAAACAGATGAGCTAACCCATCGGAACTTAGGACAATGCCGAGCACATGGTCAGCATCTTATAAGTGTTAACTATTACTATCAACACAACGCCCAGTACGTAGTAAAGCATATCAACCATCCACCATTATTACTGTTATTCCAGAAGTTACATCCTGGCTATAGGCCTCATTCTGGACAAGGGAAGGAAACCTCCAGGGCATTTTCTGGGTCCCAGGACCACACCCCCACCCCCACCCCCCACTTAGGGTTCCTTGATTGCAGTCTCTGTGCCTCTGGATGTCACTGTCGCCAATCATCCTGGAGCTGATGGTACCTGTACTCTTAAACTCTCACCTGAGCCGCCGGAAAGCGATGTTCCTTGTCCAACTGGGCCGCGATGGGAAAGAGCTCCTTCTCAGCAAAGTCCCGGCACGTCTGACGAAGCATCTGGTGTGTCTCAGGCAGTTCCACAGACTGGTAGATGGTATGTAAGCAACGCCAGTCCTGAGGCCGGAGAGCTGCCAATGAGAGGAAGAGTAGTCAGTGGAAGGGGAATGTAAGAGGTCTTGCGTAGTAGTAATAATAATAATAATAGTGATCCACTAACTGGGTGGTTCTCCACCACGGATGATTTTGTCCCCCAAGGAACATCTGGCAATGTCTGGAGACATATTTGGTTGTCTCAACCGAAGGGTGGTATGGAGTGGGTAGAGGCCAGGAATACTGCTAAACATTGTATAGGACAGATACCATGACAAAAAATTATAGGCCCAAAATGTTGATAGCGCTGCTGTTGGGAATAGCACTGAATGCTTACTATGCTTCCTAAACACTTTGTACAACGATCCCACTCAATCACCAGTATAACACCAATAATAGTAAGAGCACAGCTCTGTGACCTCAGGCGAGGATCCTAACTTCACAGGTTTCTCTAAATGTGGAGGACAGCAGTACTCAGCTCCTGGGCTGGGAGGATGAGATACTGACTGTAGCACTTAGCACGGGGCCTGGCAGAGACAGCTCTCAAAGAGGGTCCCCTTTATTATTATTCAGGGTGAGTGGGTCTTGACCAGGCAAAGGAAGCCCTGGCTACAGGTGTCACTGCTGCTACAGCTGGGGAGAAATGAGAAGATGGGAAAGGTACTTCATGCAATCAGCCACAAGCGCTAACACTGAGCACCTGTATAATGCCAGGCACCTGTGATTTAATCCTTATAACAACTCTATGAGAACAACAGTATTACTGTGGTCATTTTACACAAGAGCCAGCTGAGGCTGACAGGGGCCCAAGGTCACATAAGCAATCTGGGTTCAATCCCAGGGCTGGCTCCCGAGGAATGGCGCACCCTGAACCTCCGCTGAAGGTGCAATGAAGGAAGGGGAATGTGAGTGCAGCGGTGAAAACTGGGCTGGGAGTGGGGATCAGAGCAGGTGCCGGGGCCACGCAGGCGCAAGGAGAAGCCCAACTGGGGCAAAGGCCGCGCGTTGCCGGAGGGGCACCGCCAGCCCGCCTGTGTCAGGCGAGAATCGGCCTCCGGGATCCACGCCCGCCCGGCCCGCCCCGGGTCGGAGCGCACTCACCTCCGCGGACGGGGCCGCAGGCCCGGGCGAGCAGCGTGGCGGCCATGGAGGACGGAGACCGGCAATGGCACTGGGTTTCTTCCAGGAGACCTCGGGCCGCGAGCGCGGGTTCCGGGCTGCGGGGGGCGGGGCCGGCGCGGGGCGGGGGAGAGGGGGCCGGCGGGGCGGGGCCGGCGCGCTCGCGCTCCGGGGGCGGGGCCTGCCTCGGGTCCTCCTGAGCCCCGCCTCCCTCCCAGGAGATAAATCAAACTGTCCGGTGTTTGGGGAAGTCACCGAAATCGGTTTCAGGCCGATCTTAAAGCTCTTCGGGGGTGGGGCGGCTATCTCTCCTAAAATCCAATTCCGTGGCCTAAAAAGCCCTATCTGGCCTTCCCCCGCCTCCCTCCCCGGCCCCACGCCCACCATGCTCTTGCTGTAGCCTCACAGGGCAGCTTTTCTTTAATACTTGTAGCTGGTTCCTGTCTCCAAATCTTTGCAGTCACCGTTCCCTCATCTGGAACTCTCCTTCCCTTCATAACTCGCTGAGGCCTGCCCTGACCGCAGGAGGCCAGTGTTTCCCCCCACACGCTCTCCATCCCGTTGTTTTATTTATTCCTGGCACGTAGCATCTGAAATCTTATCAAGTCCCCTGTAAGTCTGAGCGCCAAGAGGGACAAGGGTCTTGTCTTGCGCTGGTGCTCATTATGTAGACATGGGGAGTTGGGTTGCTGGGAGGTTGTGCAGATGGGGTGGCACTGCTGCTTCCCTGTTCCATTGTGGTCCCACCGTCTCACTCCCAACTGGGGGGCAGAGCCCCCCCACCCCACCCCTCCACCGGGAGCAAGGGGCACTGCTCCTTAGCGTCCGTCAGGACGCCTTCACCCTGCCCAAAAAAACACGGCGATTTCACTTGCCTGCCAAGGGTCTTGCATGGGCACAGGTGTGAGTCAGACTTCCACAGGCTCCAGTCACCTCCCACATGCCCCCAGGAACCCAGTCTCTCCAGCTGCCTTTCTTCCCCCATAACTCAGCCAGGCGTCTGTCCCCAGCACTGACCCACATGCCAAAAGTTCTGTCTTCCTTTAAGACCTTGCTCTGCTTCCTGCAGATCTATTAAAAGATGCGGCAAAGTCTTTCAAATGTTACCTTGCACTTAAAAGAAATGCATTCAGGGGCTTCCCTGGTAGTGCAGTGGTTGAGAGTTCGCCTGCCGATGCAGGGGACGGGGGTTCGTGCCCACATGCTGCGGAGCGGCTGGGCCCGTGAGCCATGGCCGCTGAGCCTGCGCGTCCAGAGCCTGTGCTCCGCAACGGGAGAGGCCACAACAGTGACAGGCCCGCGTACCGCAAAAAGAAAAAATTAATTAAATAAAATATAAGTAAATTAATGGAGCCAAGATCTCAGCTTCATTAATAAATTAAAAAAAAAAAAGAAATGCATTCAAAAGAAAGCCTCTAAATCCACAGTACTTTTACTGTCGTTGGCAAATGCTCCGAAGCTTCCTCACCTTTCATCACTCTACCTGGGCACCAGGAAGAAAAGAGCAAGAAGCAAGAGAAAGGGGGAAATGAGTGATGTTTGTGGGCAGAGGCCAATAGACCTTCAGGTGCCACAGACCATCTAAACCAGACTTATTTTTAACTTGTATTGTTTGTGAGCTTAAACATAGATGTAAGTTTTATATGAAAAGTATACAAGTTTTCCAAAAGAGACACAAATCAGAACATGGTTGCAAGGGGTTGGATAGAGGGAGGGAACGGGCTGCAAACACCAGGCACTTGAGGGAACTTTCTGAGGTGATGGAAATGCACTGTATCATGATTATGATCATGTATCCATTTGTCAAACTCATCAAACTGTACTTTTTTTTTGTTTTTTTTTGTTTTTTGGTTTCTTTTTTTTTTGCAGTACGCGGGCCTCTCACTGTTGTGGCCTCTCCCATTGCAGAGCACAGGCTCCGGACGCGCAGGCTCAGTGGCCATGGCTCACAGGCCTAAGCCGCTCCGCGGCATGTGGGACCTTCCCGGACCGGGGCACGAACCCGCGTCGCCTGCATCGGCAGGCGGACTCTCAACCACTGTGCCACCAGGGAAGCCCCAAACTGTACTCTTAAATGAGGTGAATTTACTCTTAAATGAGGTATAGTTAAAACACACCTTAATGAACATGTTTTAAAAACATGTATATACATTTTTAATTCTCAAAGCACTCCATCAAAATGTAAAGCAAAAAATACTAAGCCTAAAGCTCAATACTGTGCCCTAATCACCCTAGAAACCAGCTCTACTCATTAAACCAATATTTACAGAAAGGCCACGTAAAGAAACTCAGAGCCCACCCCCACTCCACACCTGCCCGCCCCGTGACCCAAGGAGCCCGTCAGGAGACCAGAGAGGGTACAGGCATACTGTGAAAATCTTTCTTTTATTACTGTCTCTTGTGGCAAAATAACATTTTATACAAATAAGTCACCTAGTTTACTTTGGACACAAAGACAATACAAACTGGAATGAGGACCTCAGGTGAAGGGGAAAGGGGAAGAAGGACAGACCAGGTCATTAACGCTTCTTATTCTGTGAAAAATAGATAAACAGGGAAAAAAATAGACTTTCACAAGTTCAGTGACTTTACATGATCCTTTGTGCAACAAGGGGTAAATCCACCTCCACCAGACCCTTCTTGTACCTAAGATGTCCTGTGACGCGGAATGTGAGAAACATGGTGATCTGACAATTGGGCCCCTAGGCCAGGCACGGCAGCACCCTCTGCATCAGGGGTCCACACACACAGACGAGTCTGTGCTATGATTCTGAGAACTGTCCCCATTCCCCAACCTCACTGATGTTAGAGTGACAACGGCCACCAGGAGGAAGGGACGTTACAGAGAAAAAAAAGAGAGTACCCTGGGAGCCTATCGAGGGTGGCAAGACACACTAAAGCAAGACTCACCCAATCTGTACATTAGACACAGCCTATTAAGTCCATTCCGGAAGTGAGTCCCACTTCAACTGAAGAAACAAGCTGAAGATTCCCCCAGCTACTGCCACGTCAAGAATCTCCAGTCTCCGCATAGCCCCAACGCCCCCAAGTCACCGCCCCTATTTGAGAACTGGATGTGGCCCAAGACTGTGAGGTCTCAGGAAGGCCAACATGGCCCTGAAAAGTACTTCCCTTGCAAGACAGCTCTGAGCTAACACACGAGGAGAGGATGACCTACTTTCTTCCAGGACTACTTTTACTTATTTCCTCTGTTTACTCTTTAAAACATAGAATAAAATAAACCAGGATCTTCTTTGCAGCAGCTAAAAGGGCATCTTAGCCCAAAAGCTCCACAGGAAAAGAGAGTCACTCTCCCAGGAGACTCCAGGCCAGAGGGACAGGAGCAAGACACGAGAGGGAGGGGTGCAGGCAGCAGGCCCCCCGGCGCCAGCCGGGCCTGTCAGTCTGCTGGAATGTGTTCCCTTCAGGAGCTGCCTCTCAGGTACCAGCTCTGAACAGAGGGCACGGTCTCCCCAGGCAGGTAGGTTTTTTCCTCCCATTTTATTGCCCACAGGCAACTGCTATCAACAGCCCAGACTCCTTAACAACATGGCCTCCTGATTCAGCTTCTGATGAGTTCAGCTACTTTCAGAGAAGGTATGACTTCCAATTCTCTCCCCAGTTCAGGTACAAAAGCTTGAATTTCAGACTTACCCTAGCTAACACCCCAGAGAGGTAATGCTTCTCAAGGTCTCCTGAGTAGCTAGCCACAAGAATCCAGAGTCCCAGGTACAGAACACCAGACCTTCAGGAGCAGAAGATAGCAAATCCCTGTGCTGTTGGGCACAGACCGAGCACTTGGCCTCAAAACGGTCTCCAGTGAGACTAAAGCAAGCTCTTGGGAAGAGGATACAGCACTATTCAAGCCAGAATGCCTGCCTCCTCTGCTTTCTTCCCAGCAAAAGCTAACACTGCAGGTAAGAGACAGCCCACTAGCCTACAAGACGTGGTCTGCCTGGGACACATTTCCAAGACACACTCTACTGAGCAGAGTTCTGGGCAGCTCCAGAAACCACATCCTAGATAATAATTAAACATCAAATAGTAGAAAAACTCTCCCGACTGGGCTTCTGTCACAGAGAGAAGGGGTTATTCTGAAGCTCAATGAACACAAATCTGGTGAGGGAGCCCCAGTGAGAAACAGAAGGTGAAGAGGCAGTGCTGACGTCTGTCCGGCAGTGTATGGGATGGAGCCACATATAAGGCACCTGGATTTGCAGCCGACTCCAGTTCTGGGATTCACTGGTATGGGGATGAGTAGCCCATCCTGCAGGGAACCCCGTCTCTTCCTCCCTCGGGGGTTAGGTGCAGTGCCAGCACACAGGGCTAACCAGGGTTTTCTCAGTGAGGAAGTTGCCAGCATCTGGCACAGCCCAGACTCTGGCCTGGCACAAAGCACTGGACCACAGTTCAAGGCCACTCACGCTCTAGAATGCAAACAGGGGGCAACACTGGTCAGTGAAAGCACAGGAGCATCTGTGGCAAAGCGCTGGCCCTTCTCTCCCTGGCTCTACCTGGCCTTCTCCCAAGCACCGAGGGAGACAGCTCTCCAGTCACCGATACCACGTACCTGGGCCCTTCCTACTGCGACCCTTCTAGCAATGCTAAACCCTGGCCGCAGCAACAGTCTTATCAGAGGGTCAGGAGTTGGGCCTGAGCACTTAAATCGCCCACACAGTCGGACAACAGTAGGGAGCTGAAGCGCGGACAGCCCATCCAGCGAGGCCTGAGGGATATGTGAGGAAGCTTTTTGAGAACACATCTCTGATAGGCCACCTCAGCTGATTTCCCCCTTTCCCAACACCCAAAACCATTCCACGTGGCAGACATTCCAAAGCCATCCCAGGGGGCCAGCATACACATTACTCAGGCCTGACCCGCCAGGCTGGTTCCAGGAGCTGCTTCAGTACAAAAGCAGGTACGACATGACCCACATCAGCCCCGGGAGCCTGGCTGATACTATCAGAAGTCTGGCCACACATGCTATATGCTGGGAACGCCACCGACATTTCATAAAGCCTCCCCACAAGAAGCTTAGAAATAAAAAAACAAAATACAAAAAGGCCTGCTCTGGCC